ATTTATAGAAGTACAACAACCTAGACTGGCACTACAGTTTATGTTTATCACATGCTTATTTCTTTGTGAAATCGAGAAAGGATCGGGCCAAAGTCCTTGCATTCATGAAGCAACAGAGAGATAATAACAAGACTTGGGTAAACTCATTGCTATGAGGATGAAGGAAGGCACTAGAAGCTTTCCTAAAAGGATGTGACCTCACTCCTTAACTTTCCTCTTTTACTCTCCTATGAATGACAAGATCTTCTAAGAATATAAATAACTTTCTAATCAAGAAATCCTCACAATTGCTGGGGCCTTCTGGTCTGAATCAAGAATTGTTTGTTTGTTTGTTTGTTTGTTTGTTTTCCCCCAAGACACTCTAGGGGGCAGAACCATAGTCCAAAGAATCTTACCAGGTTCTTGCTCAGGCAGTAGGAATCCTGTCAAACACTTGACCCTGTCTTCCTAGATATAGAAGCTATCATACCACAGGGACCCACCCAGTGGTATGCCCCAGTACCAAACACAGTATTGGCACATAATAGATGCTGCGACAAGTAATTGCTGAGCAAATATGTCCTGTGGTTAACAAGTAGTTACTGCTGTTATCTACCCACCTCTCATTTGTGTTATGTATTTTCATTGTCATTATTTCTTTTCTGATAGTATACATCTTAATTATTTTATGATGGAAATTTAGAAAATGTATAAATATGCAGCAAAGCATATTGCTGATCCACATCTACCCTCACCAGTCATCTTGAGCCAACGGGCTTTCCTCTACATACCCCACCCTCTTCCCTTCTTCTGTAATAACCTGAAGGAATCCCAGCAACTATGCACAGCCATGGCTGCCATTACAATGTTCCGTCCAACATGACTGTCTATTCAAGGTCGCTCGAGCAGGCTGCAGTACAACTGACGTATTCCTGTTGTTTAGTGGATACACAGCCGAAGAAGAGTAAGAGAAGAGAGGAACTGCAGAAGTGAACAATCCCCTGGAAAATTCCCAGTGAAGAGAGTAGTGGAGCATTTTAAGGTCTTAAGGGTTCCTCTTCTTTTCAGTCATACACAGGCTGTAGATCAAGCCTTTACCACATGGCCCTTTCAAGGACATTTCTGATCCGATCTATAGCCAATAGAAATGTTCTAGGAGGGACATCCACTTACTCCTCATTCACTGACTCACTCAGACCAGTGTCTAGTCTGCTAAGTGGCTTATGTAAATGTCCACCTTTTGTGTCTTTTAAATCCTAACTTCACCGTGGCTTTTCTATGCTTAGGTTTGCTTACATACACAAGTGTATATCATTGTATTATAATTGCCTACAGTGTTCAGTATATGGCATGCGGTGCAAGTTTATGATCTTAGGAACATAAGCTACACTATATAGCATAGGTCAGTAGTAGGCCACAACCCCGCCTTGTATCTAAGAATTTCCACGATGGTGAATGAGTAGCAGTGAGACTCACTGGGTGAAGGTGCTGCTGATGATCCAAGTTCTAGCCCCAGAACCTACACTTCCACAAGATGTCATCTGACCTATACACACACACCACACACACACACACACACACATACCACACATATACACACACACACCACACACACACACACACACACACACACCACACATACACACACACCACACACACACACACACACACACACCACACACACACATAACATATACACACACACCACACAAATAACCTAAGTAAATGTCTTCAGACAGTCTTGGACATTATCTTCTTCAGTCACACTGGGATGAAAAATGGGAAACCATAGGCTGTAGCAGGACAGGCCCATAGTGTCGAGGAAATTGGCTCAGGTCAGTTGCCAAGGCATGCATATAACATACTTCCTTATGAGCCAACCTGGAGTCTGCCCGAGGGCCTAGCAACAGCCTCTCTCAGAGTTCCTGATTGATGTCAGAATTCCTGATGGTGCCCAGCCAATGAGGGACAACCACACAATGCCATCAGATTGCGACGCAGACTGGGTGCTGGGAGGAGGGTATATAAGGCCTTCCCCATTATTAAATAAAGGAGTCTGCTGTTTGCCTTCAACTGACTCCCAGTGTCTGAGCCATTGACACTGCGCCTTCTCACCCTTCCCCCAAGGGAGCCGTTAGGATCCAGCAACAATAGGCTAGTCCCATGGACTATATTTTTTTGAACCTATGCTGTCCATAAGAGCATATTCCTGCACCATATACCTGGCGTCTAGACTGTGTTGAAGCCAGATTACTCATTTATAGAAGTACAACAACCTAGACTGGCACTACAGACTCACTTGGTAGTCCAGGCTGGCCTCAAACTCACAGAGATCCGCCTGGCTCTGCCTCCCGAGTGCTGGGATTAAAGGCGTGCGCCACCACCGCCCAGCCACACTTCAACTCTTAATAAATCATTCAGTGAGAAACATCATCTGGCTTCTGTGAGGAAAGTGTTTCCCTCAGTCACCTCAGGTCCGACTTAAGATGGCTCCTCTTAGAACTTACCTCCACTCCAGCTGCAGCCAAGAGCCAGCGCACAGACTCCATTCGGCCCCGCGAATTGAAGTAGTGAAGGATGGGCTTGCTTGCCGTGATGACTGTCATTTTGTTTCTCTAAACACGAACGAATAAAAGAGACCGTGTGAAAATGCATTTTCTGATAGACACTCAGACAGCACCAACTAAAAGAAGTGTCTTCCTCCTCTACGACAGTTCAATGGGTTCCTGGATTTGGTCCAAATTGTTCTCCAACAGCAGCACCTGTGGACTAAGATGGGCCACTCTCAGATCGGCACTGGTTAAAATGTATCTGCTCTTGGCAGGCTAACGGGTGGGCACTTGTGGTCATGCCTGTGTGGAAGTCAGTGAGAAAAGGAAGAATCAGAGAACTCAAATGCATTGAAAACCTCCAAATTCCCCCAATAGCCTCTCTTGATACATTAAGTCTTTATTAATCATGATTTACTTCTGAAGATGCTATTAATCTCTACATGGCAGTTAATGAAACTGAATGCTAAAGACATTAAATGCAATGCCTACTATGACGCTAAAACCAACAACAGACATGAAAATCCACAGTGAGCACTAAAAGCAAAGAGGGTGTGGAACCCACAGCAGTGAAGGTCCAGGAAACTTGTCAAAGCCTTGGCGAAAGCAAAAGCTAAGCCTTTCAACTGAGCAGGCGAAGCTTAACTGCCAAAGTGATGGCCCCTGATCTGCAGGCTCTGACAAGCTCCTAGCACCTTCGTTAGACTCTGTGTCCTGCCTCTATTACTTCAGTTTCATTGTATAATCAAGCCAAAAAGGATGCTGTTGACTTCATGTTACAAAAGGTACCCAACAGCTCCTTATTATCAGATAGGCAATGGGCATTCTCACAAGTCTGTCTTTATTTCACTCTAAAAATGTCACCTAAGAGGACTCCTTTTAGTATATTTACTTTATAGATGGAGATATTGGGGTTTCTGGGGAGACCTGCTCATATGCAAGGCAGTTCTGGGATTTCACAGTCACTTCTATTGAAAGCCAGTTACTTTCATGGACAGTGGTGTTCACAATACGGCGGCACTCCTAAAAGAAACAAAAAAACAGAGCAGGGGATAGTGGAATGCAGGTAAACAATCCATGGTGAGTCCTCAGCTTCACGCATATGTATCCTGCATGCATGGGCATACATGTACATGCTCAGTCATTATAAATGATAATATACATATTGAGGGAGCCCAGTCAAAGCAGTTTGATAGTCCCTGCTCTATCTCAAACTGCTTGGAAGACAGGAGGTAGCAACCAATCAGAACATGAAAACCAGCAGCTCCTGGCATGGACACAACCAATCGTATCAGGATAATATGGGGAATAGGCTCATTGAAAGCAGGAGCACAAGAGCTGAGACCTGGGGGAAATAGCTCCACTCTCCTCTTCAATCTGAAGCTCTTTTAGAAAACATTTAGATCTACCTGCTTTAGGTCTAAATACACACACACACACACACACACACACACACACACATATGATTTCAAAACACAAACGCACAGAGGGACTACTTGAGAGAAGGAAAGAGGCCAGTTGGGAGGGGCAGATTAGTGTAGTGAGGGGGGAATATCAGTACAAGGGCAGATGTATGTGCAAATCCGACAACACAACTCACTGTTTTACATGCCAACTGTAAGTTAAAGGGTTTTTTTAATTAAAGAAAAATTATTCTTACAGGTTGTTCATTTTTTTAGATAAAAGCAGCAATATACTGGCTTTCTAAGAAAATGTGTGACTGGAATTACAGAAATCCAATTTTAAAACAATTATTTTAAAATGCGCGACTAAAAAACTATAACCACTATAACATATAAAACACTTAAAAACACACAACTCACTTGTCTTATCATTGTAGATCATCGAGTATATTGTACATTCTTATCGGGTAGTGGAGGTGGCACAGATAATTGTTAGGGATGGAGAACCGAGAGATTCAGCCCCCACAATACTGCTCAGGGATCCCCGATCATGTTACAGAGGGGAAGGAAGTTTTATCTTATGGAATATTTTACCAAATGCTCCTTGCCGTTTCTGAAAAGGAGGTTGTCAAAGGCCAGGGCAAAACGAGGGTAAAGGTTCCTATAAAGTTCTGCTGGGTAAACAGAAAATGAGACCGAGAGAGATGAAGGATTTGCTGTGGGTGGACTATACAATCCTCCTTCATAGTACCAAGGAGCAATTCTCCCTCTGCAACTACCATGGCAGTGGCCCCTGATACTCCCCTTACAGAGAACCAACCTGCCCATGCTCTCCCACGGAACGCCACGGCAGGGCTTCTCTCCTCCACTCGGGAGCCCTCTTGAGCTCTGTGCTGCCCTCAAGGCCCCCGGCCATGTTTTCCCAGTCAGCCAACTGGTGGTAAAGGGAGGGAGCAAGAAGAGCAGCTGATTCCTGAGTGCCTTTTTGTGAACAGCCTTTCAACCACGTGACGGGAGAAGAACCCAATAAGAAGTCCACACGGTGGTACTTTGACAACCCAAAACTGCTGAATGAATTGAGGAATACAATAACTATATCTGTCTAATTAAGAAAATGGAGTTGGGGGAGCTGGAGAGATGGCTCAGAGTTTAAAAATCTGTTAAATCCGAGTTTGGTTCCCACACACTTGTCAGATGGATCACAACCACGTGTAACTTCAGCTCCAGGAGGTCTGATGCCCCTCTCTGTCTCCTGAGTCACAGATGAATATGTTCCCACATAGACATACATAATTAAACAGAAATCTTTTTATAAAGAAAATGGATTGGGGGTGGTAACAACCATAGGTCAGGGGTAGGACCCTTGCCTAGCACCACAAAAAGGAGAGGGGGAGTCTTGTCCTGAAAGAAATATAATCAATGATGAGTCTAGAGAATTAAGAAAACTGTCTCTGGGTTGTTCAAAAACACTGGGTCAAGAGTGTCATAACAGTTGGAAGGGAGATATAGATAGGTTGAAACTCTTCCATTTGGGGTATATAAACTCAATAGACTGTCTCATATCTTTTAAGGGCTATTGAGAAGTTACAATGAACTAAGGTAAACATAGTATTGATAAACTGTTATAAAAGGCTAGTCACAGCTCCCTAGCCCTGGGGAGATGGGTTCATGCATGAACACCCTGCTAGCCCACGTGAGGCTGAACATAGGCACCCACCTCACCCTGGGGCCTGGTGAAGGTGTTCAGCACTGTCAAGGGTTGTTAAATATTAAGTACTAATTAGGTGTCAATAAAAATATCAGTTCTACATTCAACTTTCTTAAGTCTTTCTTATAAAGAAAAATTTCAATGCTTTTGATGAATTATTAAAACTCATAAAGCAGGCTGTTTGACAGGCTCTCCTTATCTTCTGTCTCGGCAGCCTTGAGCAGGGAACTGTCAGTCAAGCAGTCCCATCACTGGTAACAGGCTGGATGGCTCTCGGAAGTCCAGATGTTTGGAAAACTTTTTTTTTTTTTTTTGGTTTTTCGAGACAGGGTTTCTCTGTGTAGCTTTGCGTCTTTCCTGGAACTCACTTGGTAGCCCAGGCTGGTCTCGAACTCATAGAGATCCGCCTGGCTCTGCCTCCCGAGTGCTGGGATTAAAGTTGTGCGCCACCACCGCCCGGCTGGGAAACTTTATAATAACTCTAAAACCCTTCAGCAGCTGGAGAGGAAGACACGTCCCAGCTATGACCACTCCAGATAGCCTGCACGTGCCTAGAAAAGTGGCACTCTAAGCAAGATGAGCTTGGTGAATCCCAGAAGACCTTGCATAGGCTGCAGTCATTTTCACTAAGGCCAGAGGCGGGGCAGGGTTCTCCCAATAAGGTCTGAGATGAATGCCAACAGTCCTTCATTGTGTCAAGACTATTGGGACGGGTGCCAGCACACTTGCCATACCTCCTTATCTGCCTTCTCTTCAGCTGCCAAGCAGCTGGCCAGCCACTCCTCAGTCTATGCTACAGACGCTCCGTTGTCCAACTTCACTGTTGCTGTGGTAGCTAGGCTACTGGTTTGTGACCAATTCAGCCATGCTACAAAGATGGAAGAATACTCAAGAGGAGCCTTTGACTGACCCTAATACTTTAAAACAAGGTGGGGCAGCACGTGAGTACAGTACATCTCACTGATAAATCACCAAGCAAAGCAAGCAATCCAGTTACGGATGCAGAAGGATGTCAGCACAATAAGGCAAACCTCACATGCAAATGAAGGTTTGTATTTGCACCAATCATAGCATTGTGTCATTTGCCCCAGCCACAGCAGTCCCTCTGCTAGGCCACAAGGGGGAGTTGTTTCCTCTCCTGCCTAGGTGGAAATGGTTGCTGCAATTCTTGTGTAGTTTCCTCAAGGCATCTGCAGAGGGTTCAGAATAAGAGTGTTGGCAAAAAAAGACTTTAGCCGGCTGTTTGCCTGACAGTTCTTTTGTTTAAGGCAGCCAGGACAGCGAGAGACATCGAAGTCTTTGCTTATTCCAGGAACATGCACATGAGAAGGTGTGCTTACAGTAAGAACCTGAAGGCGTTATCGTTAGCATTTATTACTGATTTTGTTGTTGTTGTTGTTGTTGTTTTTTCGAGACAGGGTTTCTTTGTGTAGCTTTGGGCCTTTCCTGGAACTCACTTTGGAGACCAGGCTGGCCTCGAACTCACAGAGATCCACCTGCCTCTGCCTCCCGAGTGCTGGGATTAAAGGCGTGGGCCACCACCACCCGGCCTATTACTTATTTTTAACAGCACTTTAATGATGCTTAACACCCGCCTCGTGCCCCAGGGAGAGACAAGTGTCCCACAGCTTTCTCCAAACTATGGGGACTTAACTCACAAAAGATGAAGGCTCAGCCCCTATGAACTCAAAATCTATGGGAGAAACTGATATTAAATAAGTAATGTCAGAATAATTCAAGGGAAGTCTAAGTTGGGAAAATACAATACAATACAATAGCGGCTGAAGGTAAAACAGACTATTGGGAGCCAACAACGTCTATAAAGGTTCGGGGAAGGTCCTGTGAGCCAGGCAGAAAAGGGAAAGCATGCAAATAGTAGCTACACAGATCGGATTAAAAAGTCTGGACATTCGTGTTCATGTATATTTCAGAGAAACAACCCTCGGGTGTAAGTATTGAGGCATACTCACATTGATAATTACTATTTGTTTTCTGACGTTCTTATTTGACTTGAACTTCCGCATCCTGCCGGGCAATGTAGCAAGAAAGTATTCCAGCTCACCAACAGTTGCTTTTCACAAACACTGCCTTCGAGCTGAGCGCAAAATAGAGGCTTATCATTTGCCGAAATCTGTACTGCATTCATGAAAACCACGCAGTTCAGGTTCTTGAAAAAGCCCACCACACAGACAAAGCAAAATCTAACTGAGCTCCTTCTGGCTTCAATTGAAACTTCGAGTGGGAGCAGTCAGCCCACTGTTCTGTAAGAGCAGCAGCAGCAGCAGCAGCAGCAGCAGCAGCAGCAGCAGCGACGCTCCCTTAGCGGCAATCAAGAGAAGTCATGACAATAAAAGCCAGGTTTAAGTTCAAGGGAACAGCCAGGGTGACAAGAAAAGGGATGGTGGGAATACAGAAGGCCAAAAATAAAGTTGTAGGGAGGACAAAAAGGTGAGCTTGAAGAACGGAGGATGTAGCTCAGCTGACAGAATGCTTATCTCGCACACACGTGGCCCCCGTGCGCAAGCTCTAACACTACATAAAACTGGGCATGCTCTTGCATGCCTTGTAATCCCAGCATTTGAGAAGTAGAAGCAGCAGGATCACAAGTTCAAGGGTACCCCTGGCTAGTTCAAGTTCGAGGCCAGCATGGGCCACATGAGAGCCTGTCTCCAAAAGAGAGCAGGGTGGGGGACAGGGGTTGGGGTGGGGTTCCAGAATGCAGAAGCTGAAGGAGGATGGAAGCCTACAAGAGCTATGAGAGCCATGGAATAAAAAACTGCAAGCCCTGCCACTGGAAAAGCTCCAAACAGTAGTCCAGTTTTCAACTGCAAAGGATCTCAAATACTCAGGCACAGAAGCCAAGAGCGATCGAGTTCCTAGACCTATACAAGAGTCGCACCACTAGAGGGCGCCGCCTGCCGTCGGTCCCACCTGCCTGCTGTCTGTACTCACTACAGTCAACACAAAAAGACACAAAAGCCGCCAAAGGTCGGTACTGGCAAGTCTTCGAACCTGCACAGGATTTCATAAGAGGTCAAGGGTAAAGGAACCCAGCCAACTGAGTGCTAACAGTTTGGGAGATAGCCTGACCATAGAAGCAACACAAAAAAAGTTAACTTCAGGGGGCTAGAGAAATGGGTCAGCTGTTAAGAGCACTGGCTGCTCCTCCAGAGAACCAGGAACCAGCAGCCACATGGTGGTCCAAAGCCATTTGTAACTCCAGTTCCGGGGGATCTGGTAACCTCTTCTGGCCTCTGTAGGCACCAGGTGATACAGGTAAAAACATCCATACGTAGAAAATGGAAAAAAAAAAAAAGTTAACTTAAAAAAATTATTCATCACTGTGCCAACTTTCTTCTTCCACACATGGAGTTTAAGATAAAATGGTGCCCCCTTCCCCTAAAACAAGTTTACACTGGATTCCCTGGATCCTGTGAATGTAACTCTACTTGGGAAAAAGGTTCCTGGAAGATGCACTTAAGAACTTTCTGAGAAGAAGATTCCTAATTATCCAGACAAACCTTAACATAATGGTAAATGCCTGAAGAAGGGGACGGACAGACACACACAAGGTGAAGCGGTAGAACAGACTGGAAGGATGTGGCCACATCCCGTATGTTCAGTGACTTTTCCTGGGGCACCACTCACAGGGAACCAAGTAGACTAGTGTGGGAAGCCATGTGTGCGGTGACTTCCAGCAGCGTGGGCGAGGAGTGACTTAGAGAATGACGTAGGAAGGATTTTCTCCTAGAGCTTCCAAAGCCTGAGGACCGACTGACACCTTCCCTGTGGACTGCCGACCTTCACAGGTATAATAGTATCCATTTTCCCAGAGTCACCAAATGTCTATAAATCTACAACAGGAGCCAAACAAACTCATACACACACATTTCTACGTATCCCTCCTATTATTCCAGAACTGCCTTGAAACAGCGCCAGATACCACGGCACCTTATTTATGTTATCACAATTAATCTACATAATTATACAACTCTCTTAAAATTTAAAATTCCATTATTTTGCCTCCTAATTAGCTCTCTAATTTCTTCAATTATACCAGAAAGGTCCCTTCCTAGTTTACTTTAGTATTTGAACCAGATCAAGGTCCACAGAATACACCTGAGTGATATGAAGGAATGTATTTTATAGCAATGGACGAATGAACAGAGACAAGGTCACACACAGGTTTTGGGAATGCAAGAGAAATTCCCAGAGCGCAGACCCATCCATCCCCTAGGGTTTTGCTGTATGCATGCTCTTGCTCACAATGCATCATCTCTATTTGTGCTCCACCACAGCTGGCCATGAGACAACTGGACTCACGGGGGTGCGGACACAACACAGTGGCCTTCAAACAGCTTGACCACACAGCTGCCATGACAGGCTTAGAGGCCCAGACACAGCTTCTGGCAGGCAACACCTGGACCCGGGAAAAGCCATGAGCTGCCCTCACCCAGTGGGGGCCTGCATCTAAGAGGAAATACCTGACCTTCCAAACATTCCCCATACCTCTACACAAATGACAGTCAATCAGGGTCCTGAACCCTCGAAATCCCCTCACCCCAACCTCTGCTATGATTAAAAACCTCACCCCGCCTGGGCTCTGGGCTCTCTGCTCTCCACTGCACCTGACAGACAGAGAGACCAAGCCCCTCGCTTGAAATTAAAAGCTCTTTGCTTTTACATGCGGGATTCGGTCTCCCTGGTGGTCTCTTGGGGGTCCCCAAGATCTGGGCATAACACTAGGGCTCTGTGGAGAATCAGGGGACAGGCCAATACTGTCTGAGAAGCGGGAAGGTGGGGGGAGTTAAACATGGCCAGGTGAGAAAGGTTTGCCAAGCAGTGTCAGTCAATGTGCCCCACCTGGGAGCAAAATGGCCTTACGACACTCAAGGGGTACACTGTGCTGGTGGTCGGGAATGGGTAGGGGTGCAAGGAAGTATCCTGTAGGCAACAGGGAATGGGATTTAAAGGATTTTTTTTTTTTAAAGGAAGCATATTCAGCCAGGCAGTGGTGGCGCACGCCTTTAATCCCAGCACTCGGGAGGCAGAGGCAGGCAGATCTCTGTGAGTTCGAGGCCAGCCTGGTCAACAGAGTGAGTTCCAGGAAAGGCGCAAGCAAAGCTACACAGAGAAACCCTGTCTCGAAAAACCATTTTTTAAAAAAGGAAGCATATTCAGATTGATTTTTGAAAAACTACTCTGGTTGCAAATGGAGAAGAGACTAGAGCAAGGGACCCCACCCTCCCACCCCTTCACCCCACCCCCGCCTGTCTGCTCCCTCTCTCTTCCCAGCTCGCTAACACAAGAATTCCTGTAAGAGGCCTTATTTTATTCTACCCCCTGGTGATGGTAGAGGCCACCCCTGATCGCTGTGTCCAGGCCTAAGACAAGTCAGGGAGAAGTGACGACATCGGCTTCAAACTGATACCGCCACTTACGAGCTGTGAAAACTAGGCATATTCTTTAACCGCTCTAACTTTGTGCGTTTCTACATGCCAAGGCTTTAACCATTACGTTCCCTTGAGGTCCCTGGACTTGAAAGACATTTCCCAGTGACGTCTGTATGATTCTGAGAAGATCAGAATTCATGAGCTCACCCTGCAACCTTCACCAAAACCCCAGCTCCAGGAAGATGGAAGGCGGGGTGGCTGGGAGATTTGGGTCTGTGAGAAGTTAGAAATTCAAAACTGTCCGCAGGTGGCATGGGCGGGAACTGTCTTGGCACCATGGTTTACAGTCGCGGAGGGACAGCGAAGCCCTCTTTATTTCTGCACCTTAGCAAGAAAATACAGGGCAGGGAGGTCTGCACCGTGGGATGCATATACATCATCCGCTGTCCTAGATGAACTGAGGCTAAAGGGAAAAAAGAAACGGCGGCGGCAGACAGCGACACGCAAGCGCAGTACCTCTTTCAGGAAGCAATCTCAGCGCAGCCGCATTCCCTCGGTGCGGCCCACTTTACCCTGCGGGCAGGGTTAGCCCCGCAGCGCGCATGTGCGGATCTCTAGGTTCAGCCCCGCCCAGCAGCGTGGGTGCGGCTCAGCCACCTAGAGAGTTCGTGCAAGCAAACGGCTCCTAGATCCCGGCTGGATGCTGCTGCCTTCTGCTGGACTGGCTGACACTTGCAGCAGGTGCATTTCGGCTAGATCCCAGAAGGAAGGAAAGATTTTTAGCACGAAAGAAGTTTGTCTTTCAGGGGACCCACCCTGGTGGAACCTCTCCCGATGCCAAACAACGTACTCACTGTCTATAAATTGTTCCTATTTTTAGTAGAGGGAGCTGAAGTTCCAAAATCTGAAGTAGGATGTCTGGTCAGAGTCCAAGTTGATCTGGTTTAAAGCCCGAGTTCCCTTACAGCTTACTGTCTCTAGGATCAGACAGATGTGGGCGTGACA